GAGGGCCTTGGCGCATTGTTGTATCAGGTGCTAGGGGCTTATATTGAGGCATTGCAGTCTTGGGGCGTCAGGTCTTACGGTCCGCGGACTCTGGGGCATTATAGTACCACGGCACGAAGATATCAGCGTACTACGGCACTCGGGTGTTAAAGCGTCGGGGTGTGAGGGTCTTTGGACCTCAGGAACTTAGGGTCTTGGGGCCTTAAGGTATGCTTTGGGCCTTACGGTGTCAAGGCCATACGGGCTTAGGGTATCCGGGTTTAAGACCTTATGATGTAGGCTGTGAACGGTAGCAGGGCATGAATGTATCAGTGCATCTCTGTATTATGGCCTTCGGGTGGTAGGGTCTCAAGGTATTAGGGTATTGGTGTCCTAGGGCCAGAAGGTGTTAGGGTGTTAGGGTATTGGGGTGCTAGGGCGTTCGGTCGTTAGGGTATTAGGGTATTCGGGCATGCGGGCCTGAGGGTACCAGCGTCCTAGGGTATTAGGGCGTTCGCGAATTCAGGTCTAAAGGTTTCCTTGACTTGAGGTATTATGTTGCTTGGGCTTTAAAACCATAAAAGGGATCGGGTATTATGGCATGGCTGTGTTCGTGTAGTCGCGTAATCAAGTATTCGAATATTAGAATAGTTGGGTGCTCGGGTGTTCTGGAATTCGGTTATGTAGGCATCCGTGTATTAGGGTATCAGTATATCAAGGCATTCGGGTGTTATGACCTTATGGCTTTGAGGTATCCAAGCGTCAGGGTACTAAGGTATGCGGGGTACCATCAGGGCATATGTCGATGAGGTAGTATGGCTGTCGGTTGTTAAGACGTTCGCGTGTCAGGGTATTCGAAAATTTGTGTTAGGGTCTCAGGGTGTTAGGGTTTTAGTGTATCAGGGTGATCGCAAAAGAACGCATTCGAGTATTATGGTGTCCAGGTGTTCAGGTGTGCGGGCACGAAGGTATTAAGACTTCAGGGGGTTAGGGTAATAGGGTATCAAGGTAGTAAGGGGTTATGGAGTTAGGCCATCACGGCATGAGGGTCTTAAGGTGTTGGGGTCGTAGGGTAATAGGGTTCTAGGGTCTTGAGGTCAAAAGGTCTTTGGGTCTAGAGTCTTACGGATTCGAAGTTTTGGTGCGTTAAGGTGGTGTGGTTTTATATTGCCATGTACTGGTGTACTGTGACATCTGGGTAATATGGGGTATGATGGTATGGAGGAATTCATGTGCTAGGGTATTAAAGCGTTCGGGCATTAAGGCATTGGGGTGTTACGGTGTTACGGGTTTTCAGGTGCTAGGGTATGGGGGCCTTCGGGTGTCTGATTTTCGAGCTTAAGCGCATCAGGGTCGTAGGGTGTTCAATTATTAGGGCTCTAGGGTGGTAGGGTCTTCGGGTCGTTGGGTGTTAGGGTATGATGATTGTCTCCTGGTTTTGAAGTAGTAAGGTTTTCGGGTATTAGGGTCTTCGGGTTTCAAGGTATTACGGTGTAGTGGTACTAGGGCGTTAACGTTTTATGGTATTGGTGGTCCCGTGGTATTAGGGCGTTCTGGTGTTAGGGCATCACGGTATTAGGGCTTTAGGGTGTTAGCGCTTTGGGACTCTGGCGTGTTAGGGTCTTACGGTATGAGGGTTTTTGGGTGTGAGGGCCTTCTGGGATTGAGGTATGAAAGCATGATGTTTTTTAAGGTGTTAAGGCATTGTGATAGTAAGGTGCTCGGGTCTTCCAGTATTAGGGCAGTAGGGTATTATGGTGTTAGGGAATCGGCGCATTTCGGTGTTAACGTTGTATGGGTCCTAGGGCGTTGAGGTGTTAGCGTCTAAGGGCCTTCGCGTGTTAGGGTGCTTGGGTATCCGGGGGTTAGGGCGTCAGGGTCTTGGGGCCATAGGATCTGAGGGTGTTAGGTTCTGGCGGTCCTCTGGTTTTAAGGTGTTCGGGTCTTATGGGTTTCGCACATTAGGGCCTTAGGGTCTTAGGGTCTTGAGGTGTTCTGGTGTCTTGGGGTGTTACTGTCTTACGGTAGGGTCTTGGGGCCTTAAAATCTGAGTCTTACGGTGTTATGTTGTTGGGGTATTAGGCTCCCAGGGCCTTAGTGACTTAGGGCTTCAAGGTATTACGGAGTCGAGGTACTGGGGCGTTAAGGTATTATGGTCCATATGGTATTACGGTATTGGTGGTATCATGGTGATAGGTTATTCTGGTGTCAGGGCATCACGGTATCAGGGTCTTGGGGCCTTAGGGTGATAGGGTCTGGGGGCTCTAGGGCGTTAGGGTCTGAGGGCTGTTTTGGTGTGAGACCCTTATGAGATTGAGGTACTAAGGAATTCGGGCTTGCGGGATTGAAGGTGCTAGTGAATTGTGGCATTAAGGTGCTAGGGACTTACAATATCAGGGCAAGGGTCCTAGGGTGTTAAAGTGTGAGGGTCTTAGGGTGTTAGGTTGTCCGGGTCTTAGGGTGTCAGGGTCTTAGGGCCTCAGGGTCGTAGGGTGTAAGGTTCTCAAGGTCCTACGGTGTTAGGATGTTCGGGTCTTATGGGTTCGGCGCTTTAGGGTCTTAGGGTATTAGGGTCTTGAGGCGTTCCGGTGTTAAGGCCGTAGTGTATCAGGGTCGTAGGTCCTTAGGGTGTATGGTACTAGGGTCTTGGGGTCTTAGAGTCTGGGGGTCTTAGGGTGCTATGGTCTTGGGGTAGTATGTTCTTGCGGTGTTGAGGCTTCAAGGTACTACGGTGTAGTGGTAGTAGGATGTTAAAAAATTATGGAACTAGTGGTGTCATTTCATTAGGGAATTACGGTGTTAGGGCATCGCGGTATTAGAGCCTTGGTGGTAGGGCCTCAGGGTGTGAGGATCTTGGGGCCTCAGGGTCTTAGGGTGATAGGTTCTCAAAGTCCTATGGCTTTAGGATGTTAGGATCTTGTGGGTTCGGCGCTTTAGGATTGTAGGGTCGTATGGTGTTAGGGCGTTCTGGCCTTAGGCTCTTCGGGTCTTGAGATGTTCTGGTATTAGGGCCGTAGGGTGTCAGGGTCTTCGGGGTTGTTGAGGTCTTAGCGTCTGAGGGTGTTATGGTCTTGGGTATTAGGTTTTGGGGTCTTAGGGTATCAGGGCATTAAGTCAATATGGTTTTGAAGCATTCGAAGATTAGGGTCTTAGTGACTTATTGTCTTAGGGTCTTCGGGTCATAGGGCATTCGGACCTTAGGGTCTTAAGGCCTTCGGGTGTTATGGCCTTAGGGTATTCGGGTAGTGGGATCTTAAAGTTTGTAGGTATCCTGGTCTTGGGATGTTTCTTCCGCGTAAAACGCGCGAAGGGTTCGAATAATCATCATCACCGGAGCATCATCATCACCACTTGCATCACCACCACCACCATCAGCATCAGCATCATCATCATCATCAGCATCATCACAATCACCATCACCATCCTCGTCGATAGCATCATTATCACATCACCACCATCATCCTCATCAGCAGCCTTATCATCATCATCGTCATCAACATCCTCCTCATCATCAACATTATCATCAACGTTATCAACTATCATGTTGTTCACCCCTCGCGAGAACAGCATCCGCTGCCCCCTCGTACGAGAGCCGCCGAGCATGCTGGACGGGCACGGTGGCGGGACTGTTCGCAAGCAGCTCGATACTTACACATCCGCTACACGGATGGAGGGCGGATCTTTCCAGGACGGGGCGTTGGACTGAACGGCAGGCCGATGGGGCGCTACCTTTCAAGGGAACGCTTCCCGCAGTGCAAAAGGAACGTTCGTATGGGGATTCTGCGGAGGGGTCTTGGGGCAGGAGGGTATATTGCAGAATCCGTGATGCATCCTCGGTTCACTCTGGTCCTCCTCCTGCCCCGCCTCCTCTCTCTTCTCTTTCGTCCTCTATATTTCCCTCCATCCTCATCCTAGCTCCCATTCCCTAGCTCCCAGCCAGTGGTCCCTGCGTATGGCTCCTGGCTCTTGCCGATGCTCAGGCTACCGCGTCTGTTCCTGTTACCTGTTAATGCTGCTGTTACTGCTACTGGCACTGATGCAGTTCCTCCTACTTCTCCGCCTCCTCATCATCGAAAATCGTCATCGTCATCGTCGTTGTCTTCGTCGTCGTCACCATCATCATCGCCACAGCCACTCTCATCACCACCAACAACATCATCATCATCACCCCCACCATCATCATCACCATCAGCATCACCATCATCATCACCATCAACATCATCATCACCACCATAATCATAATGACAAATCACCACTATGAGTTTCATCATCATTATCACCGTCACTATAATAATAATCACCATCATCATCATCATCATCATCATCATGATCATGATCATCATCATCATCATCATCATCATCATCATGATCATGATCATCATCATCATCACCATCCACGTAGTCCACAACATCACCATCACCATCACCATCACCATCACCATCCCCATCACCATCACCATCATCATCATCATCAACATCATCATCATCATCATCATCAACATCATCATCAACATCATCAACATCATCGAACTTATCTGCATCATCACCGTCAACACCATCTTGTTCGTGCGCTGGCAACACACAATGCGCTGGAAGCGAGTCGGTACGCTCCGGCGCCTGCCCGGCCCCCCCCCCCCCGGGGAGGCCTCACCTGGGACCCCCCCCGGCAATATCCTCAGGCAATCCCCCCCACAGGCCCCCCTCTGGGTCCTCCCCGCCCACCCCCGCTCTCGCCCCCGCCCCCCCCTCCCCCCAAAGGGGGAAAAACTCGAGGGAAACAGAAGACTGCCTCCGAGGGAAAAAAAAAACAGTTTCGAGGCCACCGGGCCCCCCTCCGATGGAAGAAAAAAACGACTGGAGGGGGGGGGGACCTCCGGGGGGGAAACAAAGAAACAGACTCGCGGCCCCTGGGGCCCCCCCCGCCGCCCCCCCCCCGGGAGGAAAAAGTAACACACAACAAGAACTCCCAGACCCCCTCGACGACGCCCCGATGTAGAAAAAAACGAGGGAAAAAAGACAAGCCCGCCTCCAACAGTTTTGGGATCACATCCTCGATTGTCGTCATCAGCACGACCGCTTCTTGGTCAAGGCCGACTCCTGAAAACCGAGAGGTTCGCCTGCTGGGATGGCCGCCGATCGCAACGTTGCACTCCGAATTGAACGTTGCGTTGCAAACCACATTCCGCGCCGCTGCGGCGGTGGTCTGCTTGACATTCAAATGCTCGAAGACCCTGAAAAACTGCCTCTCCAGAATGGTCCTCCAGAGGCTCCCTCCCACGAAGCTTAGGCACTCGCGCTTCAGACCACTGCACATACTGACCAACAGCTCCTTCCTTCTCGAGAGTACCTTGTCCATGGTTGTGTTCGTCAAGTTAATGTTCGGTCGAGCCTTCACGACCAGAGCAGGGCCATCAATGGCAGTGTCCATAACCTGCAAGCTTGTGAGTGGACCGAAACAGACTTCCTTCTCCCCGGGGTATTGCGACAACTCGCTGAGATCCGCACCCCTATCGATCATCCCCATCTCCAACTCCATGACGATGGCGACTCCTGTGCCAGCATACTGCTGCGCAACGCTACGGTCCCGCGTGGTGCTCATGAAACCACACTCTACAGCGCCACGCACACCGAACTCATCCTCTTCCAAGAGTGCTTTGGGGAACACTCCACCAGCGAAACCCCTGTACACGGCACCCGCAGGCGTGAACTTGCTGAGCTTGATGATGGCTGAACTGATTGCGTGTATCGTGTTGGTGTACATGTTCTGGCAGCACAGCGTTTCGAACTTGACCTTCAGGAATGACGGCTGCGAGCTAGCCATGTTTGCGGCGCCACCTCTGAGGACGGTATTGTACTTCTCGAACATTGGTCCCGTGTAGAGCCGAGCGCCGATGAACTCTTCCTGGATCAGCTCGAGCTCGTTTATGCTCTGCAATCGGGCGTTAATGTCCAGCTCACCCTCTGGGCGGTGGTCTAAGGCGCTTCCTCTTCCAACCCAATTCTTCCCCATCAAGAAGTAGTCAAGGCAAGGTTTACATCTCACCATGCCGTTCTACCCCTCCCCTTGGGCCTGGAGGCGGGGGTCGCGAGCGGTCAGAGCGTCAAATATAGCCTGAGTTAGAAAACACAACTCACTGATGTCCCTTAGGTTTCGAGCCCACGCTAGCCTCTCCAAGATGGCCCCAAGCCGGCCGGAAAAGCCCCCAAGAAAGCTCCAAGAGGGCTCCAGTAGGCCCTCGAAGACTCCCAGCAAGGCTCCAGGGGAGCCCCCAAGATGACCCTAGGGCGGCTCCTTGAGGCTCCACGAGGTATCCGAATGATGCCACGATCCCCCAGTCAGGGCAGCTCCCCTGGGCGTTCCTGGATGTTGTGCTGGTGAGGATGCGCGAAGCGTCAAGAATTCTGGAAGATCTGATCGACCTCCTGCTGCGAAGAGGGCTGCCGGGGTCGCCCGCACTTGGCGGGGGCCTCGGCGGGCCACGCGCCCGGAAGCCCCAGGTTCACGGTTCTGCCAGAGGCCAGGGTCACCGGATCAGGTGGGGGGCTGCTCTCGTTCAGCAAGACATAAAGCCACTCAATGGCGGAACTCGTCCGCACCCCGTAGTTTCCAGTCGTGAACGGCATGTGCGAATCCTTCGAGCCGCAGTGCTCGTGCTCCATGGCCTCCCTCACTTTGACGTCTGGGACGCCGACCATCTCTTCGAGCCCCTCGAAAAAATGGCGTAGGGACGCGAAGGTCATCGTGAACTTCGCGTCCGCCTCAAACTTGGTATGCAGTCCCGCTCCGGTTGCACTCTCTGCGTGGGCCAGGGCCTGGAGTCCGCCCCAAACCTGATCTACCATGTGACCTTGGAGGTCGCTAGAACCAAAGAGCAACTCGCGGACTACGTCTTTCGACCCGCGCAGACCCACGGCTCTGCAAAACGCCAAATCCCAACATTCACCCTCCTGAGTACGCATCTTCACTGGGCGCAGCAAGGCATCGGCGATCGTGTTCAACAGGCCGAGCGACTGGACAAACTTATCCGCCTGCCAAGCCTTGGCATCCACCCCAAAATTCTTCTCCTCACGGAATGTCTTCGCCTTCCCCACGCAGTCCGCAATGACCTTTGCCAACTCGGCGTCGTCCCACGCAGTATCCATCACCTCGGCGAATGCGGCATCGGCTAGAGACTCAGAGGCCTTGCTTCGGTCCATCTCAGGCGCACCAGGGTCCACGCTGGCCGTCTTCGTCTCCTCCGCCAGAGCCCCCTGCAGCTCAATAGCCCTACTTCTCGGCTTTTCGGCGTCCTGAGGTTTCGACTTAGCAGCCCTCCTTCGCTCCATCTCCGCCGCCCCCACTACCATGCGGACCCTCCTCTCCTCCGCCAGGGCCCCCTGCAGCTCAACGACCCTCCTCCTCTGCTCCTCCAGCGCCCGGGTGGCCGCCTCCCTCTCCTTTGCCGGAAATCCCTGAATTCAGGATCCCAAAACACTTGGATCACGATCCAAGTGTTTTTCTCACCCGGGAACACTTGGATCACGATCCAAGTGTTTTCGGAGAAGGAACACTGCAAAGCCCCAGATGAGAGTCTCGGGGAGGGGAGTCGTGGAGGAGAGTCGGGGAAGAGAATCGGGGAGGGGAGTCGTGGAGGATGGTCGGGGAGGGGAGTCGGGGAGGGGAGTCGGGGAGGATGGTCGGGGAGGGGAGTCGGGGAGGAGAGTCGGGGAGGAGAGTCGGGGAGGAGACTCGGGGACGCGACTCGGGGACGCGACTCGGGGGCGAGTCTCGCAGAGGGGACTCGGGGAGGAGACTCGGGGAGGAGACTCGGGGAGGGGACTCGGGGAGGAAAACTCGCGGAGGGGACTCCGGGAGGGGACTCTCGGGCTGTCCTCTCGGGCTCTCCGCGGGGCGCGGCGCGCCCGAAACACTTGGATCACGATCCAAGTGTTCCTGGGATCGTGAATTCAGGGTCTTCCCTCCTCAGCCAGGGCCCTCTGCAGCTCGGCGGCCTCTCTCCGCTCCTCCTCGAGCGCCCATCTCGCCTTCATCATCCCCCTCGCCAGGGCCTCGTGAAACCTGGCGGCTTCCCTCTCGAGGTGCTCCAGAGCCCGTGAAACCTCCGCCTGCGCCTCGGCCGCCAGCCTCCTCCCCTGCCCGACGGCGTCCGCGGCCCTCCTCCCGGCCTCCTCGGCCGCCCGCATGGCCTCCGCGGCCTCCCTCCGATCTCGCGTGCCTTCCTCACCCTCCTCGCGCGTCGTCGCGAGCGACTCTGGGCGCCGCCGCTGTCGCGCGCAGACCAGCTCGGCAAGCCGGCCCAGGGCATCAAGACTGTGGTAGTGGTCCAGGGGAAGCAGGAGCGTGCACAACCGACTCACCGTCATTCCCGCGTCCCCGGCACTCGCCCACTCCTGCCGCAGCTCGTCGTCGGTGACAAGATCGCCCCTCACAGCGTGCATGACTTCTACGAAAGACTCCCAGTCCAAACATCCAGGCTCAAGGCAACCCAACAAACTACCGACCGTCGTGTGCCGCTGGCGCTCCGTCGTATCTCCGACGACGATGTCGTCAAACAGAGAAGACATTCCCTCGGGCATGGGTATCGCCGCTTTCGCCCCTGGCGTCACCGCTGCAGGGGGTGCACTATCATTGCTGGCCTCACCACCCCAACTGCGGGAACTTCGAGCAGCCGAGAGCACGGGGAGACGCTGTCCAAAACTGATCAAGGACACTGCCTCGCGCCGCATGAACAGACCGTGACCGGGCTTACAATCGAAATACCTCGTCCCCTGCACGGAGCCGTCGTTCTTGCCTTCGGGCTCGCTGAGTTCCACGCCCACCCAATCGCCGTTCGCGAAGCGTGTCTTGCCCACGAATCTCACCACGGCAGCGCGGCACCTTTTGTCACGAAACGCGGGCGTGGAAACCAAGTCTCCGACGCGTATCACGGAGACCCCCGCGGGCGGAGAACTCGCCTTCTCCGGTTCGCAGGCGGGAGGCATGGCAGAAACCGGGGAGAGCTGGCGTGTGCTGTGCCATTATTGCTACGGACCTCTCTTGTAGCACGGGTATCAGCCTGCAAGCTGTTCGACTGCCCCACAGGTGATAAGCGAGGGAAACCTGCGGGGCAAATCCTGCATGTCAACGCGACCCAGGCAGGACGAAGAGGGGCAATGATGATAAGAAACAGGGTATGAGGGACGGGACGGGGAAGGTAGGAGATGATGAGGGGGGGGCACAAGGTGGGCAAAAGAACAAGAAATGGCGCACGGAGGGAGGAGGATGAAAAGATGGTCGTGTGGACCCGGCCCTCCGTCATGGTCACGGTGAAAGTGGCCGTGCCGTACGCAGGAACGACGGCCTCCAATCCCCCTCTCCAGGACAAGTTCTCGCCCCAACCACTGCAACTGTTCTCCTCACTCCTCTTCGTCCGTCTGTCCTTCTCCTCAATCTCTCCTTCTCCTCTCATCTTTCTCCCATTATTCCATCATCCGTCCTTCCTCCTCCTGCCCCTCATGATCCTCCTTCCTCCAACCTCTTGTTTGATGCTTCCCTCCTCCTGCTACTTCTGGCCCCATCGTCCTCATCCTTGTATCCCCCCCGAGTCCGCCGACATGACCCTTCCTCCTGCCACTGCACACCCACCCACTTCTGTCTTTCGTCAATCAATCCTCCTAATCCCTCCTCTGCCTACCTACCTTCCATCCCCGTCCTATCCCTCCTCTGCCTACTAATCGTCCATCGCCCTCCTCCTCCTGAGTTGTTGCACGCGTTGAAAACATCGTAGCACCCCGCAGTTGCGGATAAGAGTGAGGGGGCGGCGAGGACGTATATCCAGAGGCAGTTGGAGCAATGATTGAGATGGGTCGCCCTGGAGAACCACAGGCCGCCGCCCCCGGACACCCAGCCAACCTGGCCTGAGTGCGAAACCAATGAAACGAAGATCCTCGACGGCCGGGGTCCACCCCAGGAGATCCCAGGGCATCCCCAAGCGGGAGATGTGCTCTCAGAGTCGCCATAGTTCAGACTCATCGTTGGGTGGAGAGCGGGCGCCACGGCGCCCTCCAAAACCAACGCAATGTATGTGCATGGTGTGGGTCGCGGGTGAGTTGCAGTTGGGTCGCGGGGTGGGTCGCGGACAGTTGGGTCGCGAGTGTTTCGGCGGGTGGGTCGCGCGGTGGTGGCACTCCCCTAAACCAATGCAATTAAGCCCGCCGCAGGCGCCGATTTTTTTTGCTGTGTGGAATCAACATGGTGTGGGTCGCGGGGTGGGTCGCGGGTGAGTCGCGGGGTGGGTCGCGGACAATTGGGTCGCTGGGTCGCGGGTGGGTAGCGGGGTGGGTCCTGGGTGGGTCGCGGGTGGGTCGCGGGTGGGTCCCGGGTGGATCGCGGGTGGATCGCGGGTGGGTCCCGGGTGGGTCGCGTGTGGGTCACGGGGTGGGTCGCGGGTGGGTCGCGGGTGGGTCGCGGGTGGGTCGTGGGGTGGGTCGCGGGTGGGTCGCGGGCGGGCCTGGGTGGGGACGACGCAACAAAACAACAACAAAACAACAACAAAACAACAACAAAACAACAACAAAACAACAACAAGAATCCTCACCGTGGATCTCCACTTCAGCCACGCACCCAGGGACAGTGAATGACCGTTCGGGCCCCCTCACCTTGATATATGGATTAATCAATCCCTCTTTCTAAAGATATTTGTATCTATCAACCACCGCACTTGCAGCGTGTGGCGTGCGTCGGGCCCGTGCTTTCGCTGGTGCCTTCGCTGCTTGCGAAGCAATGGTTATGGCCCCCGCCGCATCCACCCCAACACCCATTCAGTGCGGGGAAATACTTCAAAGCGCCCTCTGTGGCTACAACAGAACATGATGCCAAAACCATGGTTCGGGGTGAGATCGTCCGACCGTGGGGGCCAGAGGATTCCCCACCCAGAAGGCCAAGATGGGTCAAGATGCGTTCCAAGACGGCCCATACTGCTTCCGATTCGGACGAGATGGCTCTGCGCAGCCTCAGGGTAGCCTCTCTGAGGGCCGCGACGGCCCCAGCGGCCTTCAAAACGCCCGAGAGGCCTCCAAGAGGATCCCCAGGGGAGCCCGACGATGCCCCGAAAACTGGCTCTGAGCAATCGCGCATTGTCTGGCCAAGGCCTCCGATATGGCCCATGACCGGCCCAGGGGCACCCGAGAGGGCTCGAAGACGGCCCCGAGAGAGCTCACATGGCCCCCGAGACGGCCCAAGAAGACTCCGCGACAACTCAAGAACCCTCACATCCGTCAGTAGGGCACCTCAAGAGGAAGGGACCCAAGACGGGCCAGAAGGCCGTAGGACGACCTTGGGCACCCAGGAAGGCCCGACAGGCTATTAAGAACCCCCCAAGAAGCCCCAAAGAGGCCCCTGAGAACCCCCCCCGAAGACCCCAGCTTGCGAGGCACAGCTGCAACTCCTGTCTCGCAGCAGCGGTGGATCCAAGGACGAACGTCTGGGGATGTGCGAGTACTATGTGACAAGACGCCCGCCAAGACCAGCATCTTCCGCGACAGACCACGTTCCCCCGCTGGTGAAACTGGAAGTAGCAGCCCAGCATCCGTGAGTGCAAGCACTCTGCGAAAAGGCTCCCACGCTCCGACGGTGCCAGACAGCCCCGAGAGGCCCCCAGGAGGCCCCCAAGAAATCTCTATTCGACCCCCCCACTTCCAGGCGCCCGCCCCAGCTCGCGCGACAGCGCATGTCAATATACACGTCGAGAAACAAGAATATTCACATGCTATACATATACACACTTCCCTCTGCATAAACACATTGCATCATATGTGCAAATATCCGCCCCTCCACCATTTTGCTCTGCCCATACTGTGCTAAATCTACTCGGTGTGAACACTCCCCGTCCTCCCCCATGGACGCCCTGCGCCCCTAGATCCAAGTTGGCAAGATGGCCTTTGCACTTACCCCACACGCTCCTTCCCTGCAGCCTCACTGACTCAAAGATCCTGGGGCGCGAGACCAGCAGCAGAACCAAAGACAGTGGAGCAGTAGCATTGGCGAACTGACTCGCCATCACTCGGACCTCTATTCCCCGTGCATCTTTCGGCTTCGTAGGTGTAGGCTCTCCCACGACAAGTTCAAATGCTCGCCGATGGTCCCCGCCGAAAACATGCACGTGTCCGAGAAATGCAAATTTTGGGCACCACGTGCTAACCTCTTCTTGATGGGGCGCTACGGCAAAACAACGAGTGGTGCGGGGACCAGTTCCCTGCTGTAGGAGGTCGGGAAAGGGCTTCGCGTCTGCGGTCTCTGGTCGCCCAATACGCCCACCTGCCCGACGAAGGACCTCCGCGCGCTCAACCTTCCACGCCAACGCTCGGACGTCCAATCCCGTGCACTGTTCGGATTCGTGCATGCTCCTCCCAAACGCCCTTTCGAAACGACACCGGCCCGAGTTTTGCCTCTCACTCCTCCTCCTCCGCCTCCGCCTCCTCCTCCTACAGAACTTACGCGTTACGTAGCGTCGTGTCCCGCAGTGAGCGTGGAGCCATTGCCCACAAGGAAGAATCACCACATAACAATATATTTGGTGCTCAATTTCAGAGAGAGTGGAGCAATCATGAAACAACAACGGGGTGATACTGGCACGATAGTTGACGGGTGAGTCGTACAAGCATTAGCACATTGAATAAATAGTAATAGTCGTAGTAACAGTAGATGTAGATGTAGATGTCGATATATATGTATATGTAGATGTAGATGTACACGTAGCTGTAGCTGTAGATGTAGTAGTAGTAGTCGTCGTAGTAGTAGAAATAGTAGTCGTCGTGCTAATAGTCGTAGTGGCATTATTCATACTAATATTATTATGAGTAGTACTAGTACTAGAAGTGGTAGAAATGATAGTCGTGGTGGTGGTGGTGGTAGTAGTTGTAGTAGTAGTAATAAACGTAATATTAATAATAGTGGGATGGAGTGCGATGGCGGTAGTAATGGTAGTACTTAGTGATAGCCACAATAGTAGTAGAAGTAGTAGTCGTAGTAGTGATCGTAGTAGTAGTAGTAGTAGTAGGAGGAGGAGGAGGAGGTAGTAGCGGTAGTAGGGGTAGTAGTAGTAGTAGTGTTAGGGAAGATAACAATGGCAGGGGCAGAAATCACATCTAGTAGTCGTGGTAGTAGTACACATAGTGGTGGGTCGGTGCAATAGATAGTAGAAGTCGTCTCTAGTAGTAGTGGTAGTAGTCGTCCTAGTAGTGGTAGTAGTAGTGGTCGCACTAGTAGGAGTAGGTGTAGTAGTAGTAGTAGTAGTAGTAGTAGGAGTAGCAGTAATAGTAGTGCTAGAGACACTCGTGTTCGGAGAATTAACAAGACACGCGGTCGTAGTAGTAGCCCTGGTAGTAGAAATACTAGTAGTAGTCGTAGTAGTAGTAGCAGTCGTAGTAGTAGTAGTAGTAGTAGTAGTAGTACTAGTAGTAGTAGTAGTAGTAGTAGTAGTAGTACTAGTAGTAGTAGTAGTAGTAGTAGTAATAGTACTCGTAGTAGAAGTGGAAGCAATGGAAGCAACAGTCGTCGCCAGGGTCACCGTAGTAGTAGTAACAACGCTAGTGCTAAACATCCGCCGAAGTAGGTGGAAGTAATCGTAGTGGTAGTAGTAATCGTAGTAGTCGTAGTGGTAGTATAAATCGTACTCGAAGTAGTCCTAATAGTAGTAACAGTTCTGTGTAGTCGCCACAATAGCCGGAGTCATAGCAACAGTTGTGAATGTAGTACGAATTGCCGCGATGGATGTATTAGTCGTAGTAGTCGTCGTCGCCGCGGACGTTCGGAATAAAGGGTCGCTGAACAAAGGGGTGGTCACTGTAGTATAAGAGGTAGTAACCGTAGTTGTAATAGTCGTAATGCCAATCATGATTGTAACAGTAGTAGCCGAAGAGGTAGTAGTAGTAGTAGTAGTAGTAGTAGTAGTAATCGTAATGCTAGTTGTATTATTCGTAGTGTTAGTAGTAGTAGTAGTAGTAGTAGTAGTAGTAGTAGTCGTAGTAGTAGTAGTAGTAGTAAATGTCGCAAACGCAATAGTACGAATAACGACCGTAGTCGCAATGAGACTCGTAATGAGTCGTGCTAGTAGTCGTAGTAGTGGTAGTAATAGCAGTTCTATTAGTAGCAGTAGTAGTTATAGCAGGGATAAAAATAATAGTCGCAGTAGTAGTAACAGAATTAGGAAGAATAATGGTAGTCGTCGTAGAGGTAATCGTGGAAGTAGTAGTAGCAGTGGGAGCAATAGTAATATTAGAAGCAGCGGCCGTAGTAGCAATAGAGTAGTCGGTATGGTAGTAATTCGTACTAGGTGTAGTCGTATGGCAGCAATTCTACCTA